ACTTACATGTTGATTTAGTTTAGCATAAATATTTTTCATAAATTTAATATTCGTAAGATCCTAGTCAAATTTTGCATATTTGTGAGGAATCATCTTACCTACTATCAAATAATTTCTGTTTAATTTTCCGTTGCATATTTTTCGAATTGCAACCATTTAATCAACATATGTACAGTGCCGTGAACTCCTTTAACATGGCGGCCTATGGGATTGTGCATTGTTGAACCATACGTAAGTTGATAAATGTGATGTCATTGGTTAAATAGTGGTCGAGATGATTTCACATTTGCCTGTCAGATTTTACAAAGATCCATCATAAACTCACTTCATGAAAACAACATGTAAGTTTATAGAAATTACGTCAAGTGGCCCAGTATAACGGGTCTGTAGGTTTTGACAGCCGAACCCCTCAGTGAGTGAGTCAGTGAGTGAGTAAGTGAGTATGGTTTTACACCGCTTTTAGCAATATTCCCGAAATATCACGAAATGGGTTTCACACATTGTACCCATGTGGGGAATCGAAACCTGGTCTTTGACGTGACGAGCCAACTCTTTAACCACTAGGCTACCCCACCGCCCCCTACTCCTCAGCAGTGTAGATGTTATCTGCCCACGAGTGACAGGAGCGTAACGGCTATGGGTGCCAGCAAGAGCCTGGCGATGTCAAAGGTTAACCTTGGAAGTTTCTACCAGAATAAACATGTTACTTTTATTAAATGCCCGACAACCCTTTCACTACATATTTTGATGACTCAAGAGATTAATTTGATTAGCATATATGCAATTTCATTTTTTACATTTGTTCTGAAAATAAAATCTTCAGCATGGGGATGTCAGCATCAAATAAGTGTACAACCCTAGCCCTATTTTCACAGCCTGCCTGAAATATACTGAGTCAAAAAAGAAACTTCACATTCTTTCTTCAGGGCACTATAAAATAACAAGAAATGGTAAGATGGTTAAATTGTTATTATTTCATTGCTGAGATCTGTGTGATGTACTCGATACACTGACAGTGCCATAATCAGTTACATTAGGCTACACCGCCGTTCCAAAACATGGGTTTGTCAAGTCACAAGAATAAAAATGCGAAATTTCTCAGTTCAATATCGTGTATGGCCGCCCCGCGTATTCACCGCTGCCAAACACCGTCACCTCATCGACTGCCTGATGCTTGTGAACACGTGGTTGGGGATTCTGCGCCATTGCTCTTGCAATTTCTGAGGTTGGTTCCTTAGACCACGAAGCCTTCTCCCAAGTGCTTCCCAAACGTGCTCTATTGGATTAAGGTCAGGGGACCTCGATGGCCAGTCCATGACGTTGATTCCAGCGTTTTGAAGGAAATTTCGTGTCAACATCGCGGTATGCGGCCGAGCATTATCATGCTGGAACTGTAGACCTGGGCCATGAGCCGCCATGAAAGGAACGAGTTCAGGGGTGAGCACCTGGTCGCGGTAAGCAGCAGCTGTGAGGTTTCCACGCATGACCAGAAGTTGGGAACGGTTGTTCCCACAGAAAGCACTCCACACCATGCAACTTCCGCCCTGAATCTGTCGCCTTCCTGTACACAACATTGGGCATACCGTTTACGACGTCGTCTCCAGACTCTATGCCTGCCGTCCGCGAATCTGAGGGTAAACCTGGATTCATCGCTAAAAACGATTCCAGTCTCTCTGGGTCCATCGGAGGTGGCGTTGGGCCCACAGCAGACGTTGACGTTGATGAAACGGCGTCAATATTGGCTCACGATATGGACGTCGAGAATGGAGATTGGCAGCCCGCAACCGATTTCGAATGGTCTGTGTTGACAGTCGACCTCTAAACCTCTCAGCCCTGGTTCGTGTAGCCGGCAGAAATCTGTCACGTAGATGACGTAGGACGATTTGACGGTCTTCTGCTCGTGACGTCACACGTGGACGACCCGACCTTGGGCGATCAGAAGTGGTACCAGTTTGTTGTAGACGACCTCGCAAGTCATACACAGTTCGACGGCTGCATCCCATTGCTCTTGCGACGTCAATAACTGATCTTCTCGCTTGCAACATGCCAACGGCACGTTCATGTTGCACATTTGACAATCGTGGCATTTCAAGTACTGTTAGAACTGTGGTTTAAAAGTGTTTTTTTCAATTCTTGAGGCGAATGCAAACACGTGCATATGAAGAAAACTTCGATGTGAAGATCACGTGATCGACTGCACGTGCAAAACCTGATTTGGCACTAACATTTGCACGACGAATGGATGGGTTTGAGTGGGTAACGTTTTTCTAGAGTCGAAAGATAGGGATCCCATTTCGGATACATACATGTATCATCAGAAAGAACTTATTCATTATTTTTCAAATTACATTTTGTGAAGTTTCTTTTTTGACTCAGTATATGAAACCCTGAATGAAACATTTAGCCAACTCACAGGCCTGTTTCTATGGAAACGCACCTCCTCTGGCCCCCTCACTGACACAGTGGGAAATTCAAATCAGAATTTATAAAAGAGAAATGGATTTTCAAAATGTATTTTGTAGGCTGTCTGCATTCATACATTTTACCGTGAGCCTTCATAACATACTTCTTTACACTGTGGTTTAAATTCATCATGAACCGGTAAGTCAATTTTGTGATATTGCTTGGAATGTACTTGAATACTGCATTGCTTTGCATCGAAAGACAGCTTTCGACAAGGCAAAGAGGCCACAACCAATCTGTGTATATGAACTTCGGCCATTAAGAAGCCTTATATAAACAGCCCTGTGAAGAGAGGCGCAATGGAGGCAGCGGAGAGCTAGAGTCATCAGAGAGGCACTGGAGAGCGCTGAACCCTGACCAGACCAAGACCAGCTGAGCAGTCCAGAAGACTCTTCTGAGAAAACCAACACAGTGACGATCTAGCAGCTGACTCGGGAGAAGACACACCCGTAAGGACAAGCTGACATACCTGTGAACGTCTGAAAACATCCCTCGCCTCTCTCAAGTCTCTGCCACGGCCTTTGTGATCACTGTAAGTCGAAGCGTAGTGTTGTATTAATAAAACACCTTGCTGAAAACCTTTAACCGTTCTGTTATCGTTCTACATAGGGAGCATATTTCTAGTGTGATCAACAGACCAACTCTCGGAAAATTGTGTATAATTTGTGACACAAATATAAATTTTTATAAGAAACTGCCATCATTTATTTGTGCGTTTTCCCAGTTTGTTACAAGGGTGCATTGGGAACTAGAGTTGGTCTGTCGTTTTTATTGCAGTCCGCGTTGGTTTGATTCTTTTATGTCTATTTGCTTTTGTGTTAGATTGCAATTCATCGGTATCATTTTGTCTCAAACGAGCTGTAATGTAAGTGTCAATGGTTCATCAACACATAGAACACAATGACTACCGACCGGCTGCTTTAACATCCGTTATTATGAAGTGTCGTACTTCGCCATCTCAAGATGGAATTGATATACTTGAATCGACCCTCTGCGATTCGCATATAGAGCAAACTGTAGTAACAGTGACAACAGGGAATTCGTCTTTTATTCCAGTACTGAAGAGGTCACATGCCCATAGTACAAAGTCAGATAACAATAACGGCATACAATCACAAAGTTTGCAGACGTGTTTGTCTATATACAAAAGTGGTGGATATACATACCTAGGACACACCAACAAAACGTGGAACACGTCTACAATTACATTTAAATTTTCAAAATTAAACAATCTGTTTTCTTTTGGAATAGCATAATATCTTACCTTCTCGATCGTAAGAACATGTGCAGAACGTCTAAATCTGGTTAACGAAACGACGAATTTTAGAGGAGGTATTGCTCTACATTTAAAACTGATTTAAAAGTACCGTAAAAAGTGGAGTTTAACGACTGCATTATATGACCTTGGACTAGTAATCTGTTTTGACAACAATACATTACTTAAAGCCACGGGACGGTGGGATAGCTTAATTTTTAAAGCGTCCGCTCGTCACGCTGGAGACCCGGGTTCGATTCCCGACATGGGTACAATGTGTGAAGCCAATTTCTGGTGTCCCCGCCGTGATATTGCTGGAATATTGCTAAAAGCAGCGGAATACAATATTCACTCACTCACTTAAAGCAAAATGTTTTAGTAAATTTCTAACATTCGTTAACTAATGTGATCTTCTGTGTCAAACAAACAGAGCTTTACCCAGTATTTGATAACTTACATGGATATTTGTGCTTATAGATAAAGTGGGAAGCACCCACATTCGCCACAAATCATCACATTTGGGGTATTTAATTTAACTCCCAAAATGTTTTGGACCACGCATAAAAGTGAACCTTTTCCAATGCTTCCAAACCAGAAAGTCTGTGCCCCATATTACAGAATTTTGATATCCAATATTTTGAAAAATATCTTAAGATTTACATTGCCCTAGAGTGACAATAATACTATAAGTCAACATCTAGAGTTATTAATCAGCATTAGTATACACATGAGTCGCCGACCGGGCATCGGAATCATTTGAATCAGAATAGATGTACAGGAAATTGTTAAGTTCAACACTGAACAGAACAAGTGATCTCTTACAACACAAGAAGGGTTGGTCAGCTTGACACAAACGATCAAAATTAGTAACAGTAATAACACAAATCTCAGTACCAATGTTGATGGAAAAGAGTTCTCTATCCATGAGGAACTGTCCCTGTGATGGCCGTGTCCTTATGGGAATGGGTAGTTGAGGTAAACCCCCAAAGATATAGATATATCTATGTATCCTCTTGTAGCACCCACCAAACGTTCTTGGAACGGGGGGTGGTGGGTTAGTCTAGTGGTTAAAGCGTTGGCTCGTCGCGCCGAAGACCCGGGTTCGAATCCCCACATGGGTACAATGAGTCAAGTCCATTTCTGGTGTCCCCAGCCGTGATATTGCTGGAATATTGCTAAAAGCGATGTAAAACCAAACTCAGTTAGTCAGCCAGTCTTTGAACGGCTGAGCAGATGTGGCCTCCTCCATAAAATGTTCCAGAACATGTCCTCTTTCCAGAATTTATCGTATTCTGAAGATGCGTCTAAATCGCTTTAATATTGACTGCTTTTTTTTCGGTGTTGGTTCTTCAATGATTGGTGCATACAAATTTCCAAGACACTTAGTCATCATGTCTCCAGAGAGTTTCATGACATGTTCAAGGTTATTTTCAAATAGCTCCCTGTAGTTCATCAGCCAGTCCCACACCACCACAGAGGCTATCTTAGACTCAGTCACAAGTTCCTTACAGTCCACTCGATGACCGACAACAAATATAGGCAAATCTGTTTCCATGTGCTTTTCTTTGAGAATAATATCTTTGATCAGAGGCAGCACCTTGAAAGACTCTTTGTCCTCTACCAAGTGCATCAGAATGAAAGCATCACACGCTCCGATCTTTTTCTGCAAACCTCTGTCAGAAACACTGTCTTGCGTTACATCAGCGATGTGAAAGATTACCTCACAGTCTTTGATGGTCCATTTATATTCGTTTTCGAAGGACATCTGACTTTCGCCCCATACATCCTGCAGCTGACTCAAGAAGGAACGTTTGCCAATACCAGCCTTTCCTACAACCATAACATGCAGTGCTGATTTTGGCGCGTAGGACAGGTTCATTGTTGTTGAGTTGAGTATTAACTTTAAGCTGTCTACACGTCCTCGTTTGCCGCCTTTAATAGTGTTCCTGTCAACGGACTGTCTTCGTATGCAGCATTTGTCGCCAGTCTTACATTTATACCCCGCTGTGTTTCCGTTACGTACACAAGGTGTTTTTCACAGCTTGCCTTCAAGCAGTTATTTTATTTGTGCTAGGGCAAAACGCTGTTTAGTCTTAGTTGTTATTCTGGCAGCCTTGTTTTGTTTTTGGTTTTATAATGTGTTTATTAGCACCTGCTAGCTAACTGTTGGTGCGCACCAAGAACGTTTCATCACCTGCAAAGGGGTCCGTCTGTTCCATGGCAACAAGGCATCCGTGAAGAGACGTGGGTGATGGGTAACGCTAAGCGCTCTTCAACCCCTGTTGTGGACCCGGGGGGTATATTTGGTCCACCAACCCGTTTGACTTGGGTTGCGCCCTTGTGTCGGTGGAGGACGGGAGTCTGGTGGTTGAGGGCACTGGGAGCCTGAAACCGTGTTCCTTTTGCCCAACACACAACTTCGCCCCTTACTTCACCTAGACGGGTGGTAGAACTGGCCCGGTTCTATCAATCGGCCGGTCAAGCCGTGCCCTGTGCATGGACAACATACTTATTGCAATTATTGTACATGTTTGTACATTTGTGATAGTGGATGTTTGTATTTCAAATTATATACTATATGCTTGCCTAGAGTCTTATGCCAGAAGGCGGTGGCTCATGGGCACTGGTTCCAGGAACAGAGTTCCTTTGCCAAACACACCACTTCGCCCCTTACTTCACCCAGACGGGTGGTTGAATGGGCGGGGTTCAACCAACCGGTCGGTCATGTCGAGCCCTGTGCATCAGTTGTATTTGCACAAATTATATTAACAATATTTTTGACTTTAGGTCATGGCTAATTTTTGTTTCTAAAACATCACTTGTCCTATTTTAATTGCCTAGAGTCTTATGCTCAGAAGGCGATGGCTCATGGGCCAATCTGGTAGATTGATTACTTGTTTAATCTTTCTGCCTGAGTATATCATCCCAGTATCCTTGGTGCTGCAAGTCGGAGATCCACTTGTATATAGCATGGTCTTTATGACACTCCATGGTGGGTGGGGAGCTGGGTTGATGAATCTTTTATACTTAAACATGCTCTTGAAACCCCCTTGAAAAAAAGCGTCAACTTGACAATGATCATGAGGTTAATGAAGGCTGTCGACCTCTTAAACAAGTTGAGTACTGGCCGAGATTTCTGGTTCTATAATCTCCAGACATGCAACCTATAAAATTGAATCCATTTGCAATTTTAAAAGGAGTGTATGGTATAGCCGGTGATGTTAAGAATATCAAACGTATGAGGTCCGGATCACTTATAATCGAATGTGCCAAAAGACAGCAAGCTACCAACTTACAATCTGTTGATACATTGGCTGGATTCCCCGTTTCAGTATCTGACTACAGGTCACTTAATTCAAGCAAAGGCATTGTAAAGGACCGTGATCACCTCCTAGATGATATGTCCGAGCTTGACATAGTTTTTGGGGAAGTGTCCACACTAATACTAAAGGTAAAATCCTTGAGGAATTTGTTGCTGATAACATTTTTTGTATTCTAAATGATGATTCAGCCACATAGTTGCATCCAGCTACGGGAACATATTATTCCCTGGATCTGTCTCTCGCTGACTCAAACTTGTATAAGGAATTTGAAAGGATGGTCAATGATGACCTATATGGGAGTGACCACTTCCCTACCATTCTCAAAACAATCAACCCTGGAGATGATCCACCTTTGCCAATGAGAAATTTCGCCAGGGCTGATTGGTCACTATACGAGACTCTGTGTGTTGAACACTTGATCATGACAGTGAAGATCCTATAGAGTCGTTTTCGGATATACTAAATCACATTGCTGACAAAACAATTCCTAAGTCCTCTGCAATTCCACATATTCGTAAACCACGGTTTAATAATGAATGCAAACAGGCCAGAAAATGTACGAAGAAGGCCGAAATTGTTTTTCGCAAACACCCTACTTTCTATAATATAGACAAAGTCAAAATTACTAATGCTAAGGCTAGACGTTCTTTTAAACAAAACAAGCGTCAGTCTTGGCGAAATTATGTTTCTAAAATAAATTCACGTACACCTGTGTCAAAGGTGTGGAACATGATCCAAAGAATATAGGGCAAAGGTTCCAAATCTGCTGTTCATCATTTGAAGGACGGTGATAAGTTATTGACTAATAAAACTGACATTGCAAATACATTTGGTGAAACTCTTGCCAAGCATTCATCTTCATCTAATTATGTCCCTGAGTTTCAAAAGTATCAGAAACAACGGGAGAAGAAAAGAATAAACTTTAACTCAGACAATGGTGAACTATTTTCGTTACATGAGCTCCATACCGCCCTTGAGCAAGCTCATGATACAGCAACAAGAGCGGATAATATTCACTGTCAGCTCTTGAAGCATTTGCCGGAATCATTTTTAGAAATCCTTTTAGAAATCTTTGATCAAATATTGGACTTCGTGGCGTAATGCCATTGTAGTCCCTATTCCAAAACCTGGCCTGGATCGTACTGATCCGTCTAATTACAGACCAATCTCTTAACGTGTTGTGTCCTTAAAACCATCGAACGAATGGTAAACAATAGATTAACTTGGTGTCTTGAAACCAATAATCTCATAACCAATATCCAATGTAGTTTCAGGAAAAATCGTAGTACCATTGATCATTTGGTACGACTAGAATCCTTTGTTAAATATGTAATAGTAAATAAACAACATGCCGTATCGATATTCTTTGATCTCGAGAAAGCGCACGATACAACCTGGAAGCATGGCATTTTAAAGGATTTACATGATTTTGGTTTGAGGGATCGTTTACCTCTTTTTATATCACAGTTTTTAACAGACAGACACTTTCAAGTTCGAGTGGGTTCAACCCTGTCTGACCATTATAATCAGGATCAGGGTGTCCCACAAGGCAGTATTTTGTCTGCGACATTGTTTAGCATTAAGATCAACAGTTTATCCAAGGTTTTAAATGATTCAATTGATGGATAACCTCATAACCAACGGCAATTGCAGTTATGTTTGAATAAAATAAATAAATGGTGTCTTGAAAACGGCTTTAAAGTTTCTAAATCAAAAACTAATAATCTATACTTTTGTAGAAAATATAAGCCGCATAAGGACCCAGTGATATCTTTAAATGGCACTCCCATCAAAATTGTCAAGGAGGCCAAATTCTTGGGTCTAATTTTTTATTCTCATTTAACCTTTCTGCCACACATTAAATCCCTTACAGCTAAATGCCTAAAAGCACTAGATTTGTTAAAGGTTGTCTCCAATTCTAAGTGGGGAGGGGATCGAACTACCCTATTTCACTGATACAGATCATTGGTTCGATCTAAACTTATGGCTCCATCGTATATGGTGGAGCCTGAAAAGGCAACTTAAAAGTGCTTGATTCTGTCCACCACCAAGGTGACTTTGTCTTGGGTCATTCAGAACATCTCCTGTTGATACTCTCTATGTTGAGGCAGATGAGCCTTCTATTACCCAACGCCGTATTAAATTATCTTTACAATATATTACCAAACTATATTCTAACGAGTTTAACCCTGCTTTTAATTGTGTCTTTAATCCTCTCTATGAGGATTTGTACAACAAAAAGTCTTCTAGTGTTCCGCCTCTTGGTTTGAGAATTAAACCATTCATTTCTGCTGCCGGCATTGGGCTGGAAAATATGTCTCCTTCCCTTCTTCTTTCTTCTCCTCCTTGGCAACTGGTGAGACCAGACGTTGACCTAACTCTGACAAAGTTTAAGAAAACTGTAACTAATGAATTACAATATAAACAAGAATATAATCAATTAAAAAATAGATATAATACATACCAATCCTTATTTACAGATGGGTCCAGGGATGGTGGCGCCGTGGCATGTGCCACTGTCATTGGACCCCGAACAGTATCTTCTCGACTACCAAAGAACAGCTCTATTTTCACAGTGGAAAATAAGGCCATATTAACAGCTCTTAAATATATTAATAAACACCACCCTGGCTTTTAACACACCACAACTTAGTTCACTGTAGCTCTGGTCAGGCTCGCTGAACTGATTGACAAATGTCATCGTATCAATGTTGGTCACTGGATTAGCTCGTCAAGACTCGTAAATATTTACAGACCACCTTACAGCTATAATATTGCTGGGTACGGCGTTAACAATAAACAGACAAATCACAGTATTCATCGACAGTGTTAAAAACATCTTGTTGATGATAGTTATCGAGTCACGCGTGTCAAAAACAGTAATGCAACCGTTTCCACATCTGCAAGAAATTAACTGGAAACTTCCGACTATATCATGAGCAAATCTTTGCGAGTGTGAGAGTATCGGTTTACCTCGATTTGTGCCCATGCGGGGAATGGAGCTCGAGCGAACACTTTAACCACCTGGCTACCCCATCGTCCCCGACGGTGAAGGAAATGTACATCTATAGAGTGTGTGAGTGAGTTTAGTTTTACGTCGCACTCAGCAATATTCCAGTTATATGGCGGCGGTCTGTAAATGATCGAGTCTGGACCAGACAATCCAGTGATCGACAGCATGAACATCGATCTGCGCAATTGGGAACCGATGACATGAGTCAACCAAGCCAGCGACCCGTTAGTCATTTCATTTTCTCGAAACTTGCGTTTCTTTTGCTGTTCAGCATATAATTGTTGGTCATATTTGCAGTATATGTGTGTTTGTGGAAATTGTAAAAAAATCATCGTTTGCTGCTTTCATAGATTTTTGAAAGGCTTGTGATTTTATGGTACATTTTGAGGCGTTAAGGGGATTGTGTTGGCGTTAATGAAAATATATTAGCACTGTATCTTAATGTTCAATTCAGTGTTTGAGTATGTTCCCATTTGGTTTGAGGTTAAGCGAATGATGTGAATAAATTGTTTAAAATTCTGAATAATTGGAGTAAAAAAATGG